CTCTGCCCCTACCCTCTTTGAGACATTCACCCCCCACCTTGCGATGCCCCTGCAGGATAGAGCTCCCCCCACTCCCTTCCCACCGTTCAGCCCTCTGGGAACAATCCGATCCAGCCGACTACAATTATTGATGACACACTTACCAAAATATCATTTGCTTGCATTTTGTTGATGACGATGGACAGCACCCTGAAGACGATGATAATGAGAATGATGGTGACAACCAACTCACCTGCTGATGCAGAGCAACATCTAATGAAAACAAGCTGCTGCTGATGATGATAATGATGAGAATGAAAACGGAATGATGATGCTGATCATACCAAAGAGCAGCACCAACAGCCCCTATGAGTACAAACTGATGATGATGATGATGATAATAATAATGATGATAGCGATGATGATGGTGATGTCGATAGTGATGATGATGATGATGATGAAGATGATGATGATGTTGATGATAATGATGACGCACTGATGATGATGATCATAATAATGATGATGATGATGATGGTGATGTAAGTAATGCTGCTGCTGCTGCTGCTGCTGCTGCTGATGATGATGATGATAAAGATGATGACGCACAGCGCCATATGATGACTACAAGATGATGATGGTGTGATGACGAGCACCTTGGATGATAACCTAAANATGATGATGATGATAAAGATGATGACGCACAGCGCCATATGATGACTACAAGATGATGATGGTGTGATGACGAGCACCTTGGATGATAACCTAAATATGATGATGATGATGATGATGATGATGATGATGATGATGAGCAATGCCCTATGATGACGTCAAGTTTTGCCAACCGTGCCGTATGATGGGGATATATTTGACGATGGTGATACAACAATGCCTCTGAACCTATTTTGCCGAACCGGTTGATTGCCGAGCCATCTGATTGTCGTCTCGTCTGCAAGAGCCCGATGTTTTTGGGTTGTGTTACTTTGAGCTCTTGCTATGGAGATTGGAATCCTACGACCTCCACTGACCGTCGGCAAGTCGAGTCTCTGTTTTTTTTTTCCTTTTCTTTTTCTGTTTTTTGCCCGCCATGGTAGCCGCCTTCCAGACACTGCCAAACTGCGTGGTCCTAGAAGCTATGTCCACTTTGTATTTTTGATCGTAGAAGCTATGTCCACTTTCCATTTTTGATCGTAGAAGCTATGTCCACTGTCTATTTTTGATCCTAGAAGCTATGTCCACTTTCTATTTTTGATCCTAGAAGGCTAGTAGAAGCTATGTCCACTTTCTGTACCTTGGTTGGGTTGCCAATTAAACCTTTTGGCACAATGCGAGGGTTCTGGGACCCCTGAGCCTTGATCATGGGGATGTCTTTTTAAATGTTTTCTTCTTTATTAAGCAGTGGAGGCATTACTCTATCAACCTGTTTCCATAGGATTCGAACTCATGCTCCGTTTATTAAAAAACGGTTACATTTGTGTACCATTCAGCCAATTGGGATGGCTATCATTACGATGGCTTCGATGACTAATGGGTATTCATTTGCTCAGGCATATTTCCGTGGAGCAAAGGCGGCGCTGGCACTCGATGTCCTGGATGGAGCTGCAGACTGCTGTGCAAAGGGCTTGTCCAAAGACCAGAACAATGTGGAATTGCAGAAACTGCAGGTTACAATTAGTGAGAAACGGGCTAAGAAAGAGCTTGAGGCAAGAAAAGAAGCAGCGTCCAGAGCTGCAGCTGAGGTAATTCACAAATGTACCAGAACAAGGACCCTGTCACCCACTCCCTTCCCTGTTCCCCCTTCGCCAGCATGGTTTCAAGCCTAGCCACATTGATGTATGTGTGTTTGTGTCTATGCGTGTGCATGTGTGTGTGTGTGTGTGTGTGTGTGTGTGTGTGTGTGTGTGTGTGTGTGTGTGTGTTNGAATAATATTTCGTTCCTAGTGTTGGCCATTACCAAACGTGGATCCAGGGCATCATAAGCATGCAATGAAGAGCCTGTCGTCTGGTTGCTTCTTTGTACACCAGTCCGCGAGAAAAAGCATAATGTTGCCATGCGATTTCAATGGCGTGTGTGTGTGTGTGTGTGTGTGTGTGTGTGTGTGTGTGTGTGTGTGTGTGTGTGTGTGTGTGTGTGTGTGTTTTGAATTTTCACCATAACAGCCCCTATTCCACCCAGATGCGTAGAACCGAAATCGAAGCAGCTTTCTTTAGTCCTATTGCAGACAATAGGCAGCACACTTGAGTTGAAACATTCCAACAATGAGACAGTTTTACCTCTATAGCAAGCAACACGGAGCATAATAGAAGCGTTTAAAATTTAAATCCATTTCTTAACGACATTCACTTTGGCTTTTTGGGGTACCCCTCTCATTTGTTCTTGCAACTCCCCTTTTACTGCACCTCTCATGCACAAGGCTCGCCACGTTGACTCCGGTTGAGCGCAAGCTGCACACATCCCCGTGTGCACACTACGAAAGGAGGCAGAGTAAAGGCAGAGGTATATTCCTGTTCATTTTTCCTCAGATCTTCAGCTCACATTTTGTTTGTTCTGTTAATGATGCTCATTCGTATGCATTTACTACTAGTACACAAGAGGAGGGAGGAAGGAAATAAGATTGTGGGTAGTAAACAAGAGGAGGGAGGAAGGAAATAGGAGGTGGTGTTCTCACAGGGTTGTAAATACTCACCGCTGCAGCATACTACTCTAGCATGGCACATGAGGCCAGTCAGTGTTTGGGTTGCATAAGATTTTGAGTTGCGGAGCACAGCCGTTGCCTACGGTAAGTCGTCACCGCTACAGACCGGACACAGCTGGTTCGGGTGTGGACTGTGGAAGCACGGCATCCAATTCTCGCAGTCACAGTTGCTGGATCGAAAGACATGGCGTAGACAGATGTCACAGGTTACGTGACTCCTACATGCTAAGGAACACAGAGGCACACCGGCTGCAATTGTAGAGGCATTGCCATTCCAGGCCCTGTCTACAAATTGGATATGACATGTCAGGGTGGTGCCGTACACGAGTGCAGTATTGACTGTCGTCGTACGTATGGAAGCAAAAACTTGCATGGGCTATTCCCTTCATAATCCTCACGGCACAAGGCATGTAAACCATATGCTAGCCAAATCTCAGGTGGGGCATCACAGAGCGGCATTGAGCAGGTTTCATGGGTTTCCCCAGTATGTATTCCTTCTCTATGGGCAGATGATGACGGGGATTGACCCAAAGCCATCGCGTTTAGCTGCTGCAGGATTAGGTCTGCAACAGGTCACCCTGTTGTTGATAACCTTTCAGTACAGCGCTCTGTAGGTGGTTCACATTGCATCTGTCGTTTGTTTTTTTTTCCTCCTCAGGCTGCTGCGTCTGTCGTTTGTCTGGCAAGGATGAAGGAGATCCGACTACAATTGCAGCAGGTGTATGCCCAACATTGCATGTGGGACATGCGTAGAGAGGGTGTGGTGGATGATGGCATTGGGGATAGTCGATGAAGTAGAGACGCATACTGTCTATGACAGCTTCCTGGAACCGTTGATGACACATGGCATGTTGCTGACATGTCAGCAGGAAAGCAGGCTGGCGTGTGCAATTATTCAAGCATGGCATGTCAAGTCCATGACGACATACTGGGCAAGTAATTAGGGGGTTGCAAGGGATGGGTTCAAGACAAAGGGTCACAGTTTTTGCAGCAGGGGCTGACAGTGACCATCCCTTCATAGCGTCCGGAGCAGAGACTATGCCATGTGCATGCTAACCGTACTGTAGCTGTGTTACGACAGAATCAGAATGGGATGGCACAACCACTGTCCTCTGGACAGGCTCCTTCACTGTCCGTGGTAGATTCCGTCCGCTCTGCACAGGGAGGGCACAATGCCTAGCCATGCACAGGGGAAGGAGGTTCAGCCGGATTGGTCTCTGGAGGCTGTAGAGCTTGTGTGTGTGTGTGTGTGTGTGTGTGTGTGTGTGTGTGTGTGTGTGTGTGTGTGTGTGTGTGTGTGTGTGTGTGTGTGTGTGACAGTTGACAAGCATTTGATTGGGAAACAAGCTCCATTGCTTTATTGCTGGACGAAGATTGACAGAGAATGACTTTTGTTTTGCAATTTGTAGTGCTGCTAGAACCGTCTAGGTGGGGCATCTGACGGTTTCAGGTACTTGGGATTGCATCGAATGGTTGATCTTTTTTGCATGACAGAGAATAGTTAATGCCTTGTCGAAGAGGAAAGTGAAGATTGGACCAGAGGCCTTTCGCGAATGGACTGGCGGCAAACGGCCATGGCTTGACAGTGATGAGATTTTGCATTTTCCAGTTGTGCTGCTGTATGGCGAAGTGATGACCGCAGACCTCATAGAAGACTTCAGCGAAACAGACCGGTTTTCAGCTCATCTGAATCAAATATCCTTTTTAATGTTTGAATTTCTTTGAACTTTGAAGTTGGAAGTATTTCTCGTTGTTATTCTTTCTGCAACTTGGTAGCAAAGTTTGTGTTCCCGTTTCTTGACCGCTTTTCTTTTCTGCTCCATCATGATGCGCATTCACTCTTCAGGCATCTTCATCTTCTTCTGTTTTTTTTCGGTTGCTTTTTTAGAATCACTTCAATTGAATTGTGTCAGTGATTTTAAAATTCAAAGATAATCACATCAGAATAAAATTCATTTGAATGTGATCAAAACAGGCTCACTTTCCTCTCTGACGGACTGCTAGTCTTTCTTCCTTTTCTTTTTTCTTTCTTTTTTCTTTCGCAAACTCTTTAGTCTTGAGACCAAGCAGCCCAGTTTTTCTTGAGTGTTTCTTTAACTTTCTTATAAGTTATAACCCTCGCCATCTGCTGCCGAAAAACTTCCTTGCAATGGGTAGGGCAAGGAGGTGGAGGACGGGAGGAAGGGAGGAGGATGGCGACGAGAGTAAGAGGAGGAGAAGGAGGAGGGGGGGAAGGAGTAGTAGTAGTAGTTTGACTTTTCGAAATTAGGCAGGTCCAGCATAGGGTCCGCTAGCCCAGTCCGTCCAGTACGATGTTGAATCCGTCCAGCATAGGGGTCTGGCATTCCAGCCTACTGAAACGGTATTCCCCAGTTCGAAGTAGCTGATGTAGGTCCCAGGGCTCGATCCCTAGTTCCCCAACTTACCTGTGTACAATACCTGTGTAGTTGTAGGACTTGAACCTGTGACCTGTAGGATAGCCACTTGCAGGTAGGTCATCGTAGGCACCAGAGAAGTAAGGGATTCGAACCACAGACCTGTAGGGCAAAAATCGAAGTAGGGTCCAGAGGTCTTCTAGAAGGTCGACCAGTGGGCAAGTGGTGTAGCTAAGTCTACTTGCGCCGTAGGACTGTGACATCTGTCGAAGTCAACTGGTAGGACCTCAGTAGGACTGCAGTGAGTCGTAGGTGAGTCGTAGTGCAGTCGAGGAAGTGTCCAGAAAGTCCCTGTCCGGTCCAGCAAGTACCATATGGGGCTAAGGGTACCGGGGCCAGAGAATACAGGCCAAATCGGAGCTGCGCAGAAGTATAAATCAAGAGGCTGCGTCCAGCCATTCATTGATTCCTGCGGAAGCTCTGCGGAAGCGCTGCTCGGGCGTCTTGTGCAAGGGAGGTCTGCAGATGGCCTGAAGACGAAGTGGGCAGAAGTTAGTGATAGGCTAGTTAGCTGTTAGTGGCCATGCGCCATAGCCATAGACAGTTAGTGAGTGTGTATGTGTGTGTGCAGTGGTTGGCGTGCATGGTATCCAGGGTGATCCGGAGTCGAGTTGCGTGTGAACTCTGAGTCGAACGTGTAAGTGTGGGCGCCCAGCGCCATAGTCAACTGAAGTAAACTTGGATTTGAGTTGAGTTGCAAGCTACCATATCTCCGAGTTTGAGTTGGGTGCACAGCGCCAAGTTATTCTCATCTGTTGCATGCATGTTTGAGTGTGAATTTGCAAGACTGATTACACTACCTTCTTCCCCCGAATACAACGTACGGTCATTATAGCTGTATTTAGACTGAAAGATACCCTAGATGCGGCTATAATGACGGTACGTTGTATTCGGGGGAAGAAGGTAGTAGTCGAGTCCAGTCGGCTGCTCCCAGGTAGAGTCAGCGGCCTCGTGTCCGAGGAGGCCAGCGAATATTCGGGGAAGTCAAAGGCGGAAAGACCAATGTGGGCAAGGTACCAGGTCAACCAGGTCTGCAAGTCCAAAAGGGGTAGAAGCCGAATCGTCACGTACGACAAAAGGGCAATATCTGTTGATGCACACAACGATCCCACGCGTACTTGTTCTGGAAACGCTGCGGCAGCAAAAACGAGTGACCAAGTGACGAGTATGACAGTCTGAGACGGAGACTGGATAGGAAGCGGTCACCAGGTGCTGGCGGCCATAGCTGTAGCTTGATCATCATAGATATATAGAAGAGAGAAGGCATTCAGAGAGGGAGAGAGAGGCCTGAGGGATGAAGATTGACAGTGTTCGTCTTCTTCTTGTTCAGGCTTGCGGCCATAGCCGCCAGCCAGTTGTGCACACGCTGGTCTGAACCTGGCGGAGGCATGAGGTTGTAATAGCCTGTAGGAGATATGGCTGGAGAAGTGGGGGTGGCTATGGCTGGGCTGGAGAAGTGGGGGTGGCTATGGCTGGAGAAGTGGGTGGCTATGGCTGGAGAAGTGGGGGTGACTATGGCTGGAGAAGTGGGGGTGGCCATGGCTGGAGGAGTGGGTGGCTATGCCCGCCAGGTAGGAGACGTGGACTCAGGATGTGATTGCAAAGATAACTTGAGTTGCGATATTTCATGGCTTTGGTTTTCAACTTGCCTTGGGTTATGGAGTGAGAGTGGGCGACTTGGAGTGAATTTGTGATGTTTTTTTTTTTTTTTTTTTTTTTTTTTTTTTTCCCGTGTGCCTCGGGGTCATTACGTTCGACTTTTGGTGGAAGTTGGTACACCCATGAGCTGTTGAAGGTGTTGAAACACAGAGCCAAGTTCGAGTACAGATGCAATCAGATGAACAGAATAAAATGATTCTGAAGTACATGGGGGCGGTCAATTCAATGATAATCTCTCAAAGCTGTCGCCCTTTAAACGAAAAGAAAAGCAAAAAAGAGAAAAAGGAAAAAAAAAATCAAAAGAAGTGCTATTTTTGAATGATTTTTTTCCACTGAATAGTAATTTTGAAAGATCAAAAGTTGAAACACCCTTAACCAGATTGTTCATCACATGTTTGGTGAGGAGGCTCCGCCACTGGAATGGGACGTAAGGGGAGAGTACACACGGAGGCGAATTGAACTGTACTTCCAGGTGAGATTCATTCTCTCGTACAAACAGGTCGAAGAACACAGAGATAGGTGTCAAGAGCAGAAGCATGTAATACCAACAGAAAAAAAGGGGGAAAATTAAGAAAAAAAATAAAAAAATTCAAAAATCAAAAATAAAATACCGTACCGTCGGAACAGCAAACCCTCACACGTGGAAATCAGGCGGGCTGCTGGGGTCAGCCGTGAGCTGCTCAAGGATGGTGCTAACCTCCGCATCCTTAGCAGTTTGCTCAACTACCGTCTTCACCCGAATAGAACGCCCGATTATTATAGCTGTATCTGGACTGAAAACTGCAATGCATCAGCAACTCGATTGTAACAGCTCTTTTTGTGCTTCAATCAGTGTTGGACCCCCCAACGGTCGGCGTCCCTTGACTGGTCGGCTGCCGACCTGCCGACCGATTGGCTGGTCAGCACCTACCGGTCGGGGGTCGTCGGCACCCCGCAAAAAAATAAATAAATAATCATAATATATATATTTTTTGGGGGGGTCCAGAACCCCTAATAACACCACCAACACCCCCATTGCGGCCCCCAATACCCCCATACACCCCCCCAACACCCCCAA